ATATAAATTTTTGACAGGAATTTGAAGACTATTGTATTACTGAAAATCCAGTATTATATACATTTCCACAAATTTATAAGTTTGTTAAAACTCATATATACTTTATTGTAATACATCAGCAGCAAGTTGAAGGGTTATTCAACAAGCTTGAATTTATTTTATTAGCCACATTATTTTTTTTATATTTTTTTAACTATATATTGTTTTTTTCGATTATACAATATGTATTTGTACTTGCTTTAATTTGCTAAAAATATATACATATATGTTTGATACATACAATTGGTAATTTGCATACTGTTACACAAAAAATTCACATACAAAATTTGATATACATCTATACATAGTTTTGATTTACATAGTTGAACTCACCCCCCATTGTTACATGTAACAGGTTGTTACAAGAATATTTATTCTTATTATTATCATTGATAAAAATGTAATTATTATTATCGTTATTAACAGTTAATAAATTACATATTACGTAATTGTAGTTTATTACATTGCTTAGTCTATGAATCGATCAGGCCATTTCAGTCTCATGACCTGCATAACAAATCGACCTGGGCCATTTCACGATCAGTGAAAATCGAGAAATAACACGTGCCAATTCCGGATCGACTTAAATTCCGTAACTACGCGGAACAATTTTTAAAAAACCGTTTATAACTTAAAATTACGCTTATTCGACCATCTTTTTGGTACTAATAAATAAAATTCCTTGCGAAATTTTAGTATAAATTAACCCCGTCCCATCCCAAGCCGCCCTTACACTAACTTTAGATGTACTTACATACGTATATATTATATTTAAATAAAGTTTTTTAACACTGAAATATTAAACAAAAAAATCACATCAATCTAACAATAAATTTATTTATATAGGGTTATTTTACATAAATAATATTAATACATAGATAAGCGTTACTAAAAGAAAACAAAATTTTAGGCTTTGAATTTCAAGGCTGAATTTACTTCGAAGTTCCAAAAACCGGAAATCTGGTTTTCTTTAATAGTACTTGAATACAAACGAAAGATTATCACTTTGTTTATTGTTTTTGTAAATTTTTAATAAGACACATGCTGTGCTTAATAGCCACATGCAAAATATTTTTATTTATTTACTAACATGGCTCAGTCTTTTCTAAAGTCTTCGAGGATTTGATCTTCGCCGAGTTTTGACTTTCCCCAGGGGTTTCAAATTTACCAGGGGTTTCAAATTTACCAGGGTTTCGCCAGGGTTTCGCCGTTTCAGAGTTTCGCCTGGTTTCGTCAAAAACAGTTCGCCTGCCAACACTATACCTGATAACCATTTGCTGAATGATTTTTGGCCGATTCGGTTAAGTTATTGACTTAGGCATAATAATAATAGATTTACAGTTGCTCTCATAAATTCTTGGACAACTGATAAAAATTGATCGGCCGAATTCGATAAGTTTTTGAGTTCGGTGTTATCAGTACTGTGGTGCCAAAAGTCCAATGCCAATAACACCGGATTCAAAAATTTATCGAATTTTGCCGATCAAATTTTTTATCAGTTGTCCCAGAATTTATGAGAACAGCTGTAATAAAATCAACATCAGATTCATTATACTTATGTACGTACGTTCGTATGTACAAACGATCAGATTGGCGTTCTTGCATTAACCATAATTCTTATCGGATCATGATTTATTTTTTTTTAGCCAATAAATTCATATTTAGATTTACATTAACTTATACAAATTAATAACGCTCCGGTTTCCGTGGGTACCAGAATAAAAAACACTAACTAGTTAAATCATTACTCTGAAACTTTCTGACATCAGACTTGACCGATATGCAATACAGTATGAGATAATTGGAAATATTTTTTGTTCAAGATTGTCTAACTGCGTTAGATTTAATAAGACTACACTGGCAATCATAAATAATGCAACACGTGACAATTTTTATAATAAAACATAGTAACTATTGAAATTTTCCCTCTATAATAAAAATTTTTAGAAAAAATTTTTTATAATACTTATAAAAATTTTTTACTAGGGATTCGACCTTAGAACAACTATGCCATAAAAATTTTTAAAAAATCTGAAAAAAATATTTTTTAGAAACTACAATAGATGAAATTTATTCTGATATAAAAAAATTATTTTTAAAAATTTTTATTATAGAGTGAAAATTTTCAATAGTTACTATGTTTTATTATAAAAATTGTTACGTGTTGCATTATTTATGATTGCCAGTGTATCATTACTAACCCCAGATTTAAGATTCTGTTATTGTGTTTGGATTTGTCAATCGTAATAAATTTTGGTTTATATATTGTATTTATAAGTTTGGGTTTATTAATAATAACTGCCACGTTTATCCTACTTTACTTATATCTACCTATCTTTTGTATAGACGGGTTCTTTTGCGTCTTTATTAATTTATAAACTTTAAACATTAACCAATCTGACAAACTTCTTCCCATTGCGGGGAAATGATGAAAATGTCGAGGAAGTGATTGTCGGGAAAATGAAAATATGGAGGAAGGGATCGTCAGAGAATGATTGGAACCAAAGTTTATAATTTTAAAATTTTAAAAAATTGTCATTTTTCCGGATAATCCGGATAATTAACAATTCCCAATAAAGAAAATGCTTCATATTAACAAGTAAATCCGCTGGTGGTTATAGGTGCATGAACATTATCTCGAAATCAACCATGCTGTTTTTAGGGGAGTTATTTTCAAAATAACGTACAAATGCTTGTGAATTCATGGTATGAATAACATTGCTAATTCATAATTGAATGTGCGCGTAAAAAATACACATTTTTTGTTTCGATTTTTTTTTTTTTTTTTTAATATAGTGGTTTTAGTATTTCTCTTGTTATACATCCTCTTTATTTTATAAACGAGTTTTTTCGAGACCATTCATAAGTTCATTGTAATATCATAACAAGCATTTATTACATCAAAATAATGGCTACACATTCAGTCGAAATTTCTGAAAAAATCGGGGAAAACACAAAAATTTCAAGCATTGAAGAAAAAAGATTATTAACAAAGCTTGATTTAAGAATTATTCCTTTGCTTACACTTCTTTTTACCCTTAGTTTCTTGGATAGGTGTATATCTTACTTTAATTAAAAATTTTATGAAAATTTTATTATCAAATTTTGATTAATCTTTATTACTTCAGAGTTAACATTGGAAATGCGAAATTAGCTCATTTGGAACGTGACCTTAATTTAGTAGGAGATCAATTTAATTGGTGTTTGGCCATATTCTTTTTGTAAGCCTTATTTTATTTTTTTGGAATTTTTACAGTAATTGCACAGTTTGAATTTACTTTTTAAGTTTACAGAGGGTATGTAGTATTCGAAGTACCATCCAATATCGTGTTAATCAAAGTCAAACCTTCGATTTGGAGTCAGTTTTGCCTTTTTTTCACTATATTATATAGTTAATTGCTAAGGTGAAATTTATTCACATCGTTAATTTCTCTTTATAGTTTCAACACTCACGGTCGGTTGGGGTATCGCAATGATAAGCATGGCATTTGTATGTATTAAAGATAAATTAGTATTAATATATTCTAATCAACTCGTGATATGAATTATTAATTATTTTTTCTAACGCTAAGGTAAAAAATTTTTCTCAATTGATGGGTATAAGATTTTTATTGGGTGCTTTTGAATCTGGTCTTTTCCCCGGTATCATATTTTATATTACAAAATGGTATAAGAGATCTGAACGAGGTTATCGAATTAGCTTGTTTTTTGCTGGTGCTACAATTGCTGGAACATTTAACGGTCTTTTAGCATTTGCTATCACAAAATTAGATGGTAAATCTGGTTTAAGTGGTTGGCAATGGGTACATACATATTTAATACATGATTTATTTGATTTATTTGATTTATTTGATTTATTTGATTTATTTGATTTATTTGATTTATTTGATTTATTTGATT